GGACTTTGTTGCGTGAAAAGTAACCCTTTATCGGAGATTTTGGGAACACAAATTCGATCCCTCCGACCCCGGAGTGGGAGTGGGGGGGGGTGGGGGGGGGGGGGGGGGGGGTTATCTTCTTTTTTTTCCCTCCTTTTTTTTCTCTCTCTTCTTTCTTTTCTCTTCTCCTTTCTTTTCTCTTCTCCTTTTTTCTTCTCTTCTCCTTTCTTTTTTTTTCTCTTTTTTTTGCGCCGCCAATAGGGGGGGGCCGCGACCGTTTCGGCCCCCCCCTGGATCCGCCACTGCTTTTCACGACGAAAAACTTCTCCATGACCATGTTTCTGCCCTTGCGCGATCGCCTCCAGCTCCAGCAGATATGGGGCGGCAGCGTGAACACGTACCGTTACTAACGGCGCAGTAGGCCTATAACCACTGCTGACTGCAGCACTGCACTGCGAGCTGAATCGTTAATAAATACTCATATAGAACGAGAAATCTTGCACGCTAATCTAAGTTCCATTTCATTGGTTTAAGGTTTGAAAATTGAAACTCAATATTGTGTTAAAGTTATAACAGAAAAGATAATCTTTATTTTATAATTCCACGGGGGCGATTTTAAATTTTGCAATCGCCCCCGTGTATTTTGAGCGCTGCTAATGGGACATGCATGGTTGCTACTCCGAGTTTCACGCCTTGCAAGCGATCATCAGACAATTACTGATAGCATTCTTCAAAGTACATGATTCCTCTGCAACCTTGGTACAAATACACTCAAAATAAGACTTAACTAATAAATACAATACCTGAATAAAATATAATAAGAATTACTCATGAGTAATTCTAATTGTATTTTATTAGTTAAGTCTTATTTTAGGGGTATTTGTACCCTGAAGGTTGTATAAGATAATCATGTACTTTTAAGAATGCTATCAATAATTGCCTGATGATTGCTTGCAAGGCGCGAAACTCGGAACAGAAACCATGTCCCATTAGTCTGCCTGCTCTGCCTAGGCATTGACCACTGTTCAGAAGGATATATAGCAAAGCATACATATTGCTCCGATTGTCTCATTTTCGCTCGCGTGAACATTGCCAGCACAAACCACTGACCTCTACCTCCTACACGTATCATCGCACATTCCCATTCACTATACGTTACGTACTAAAAGGCTGTATTGTCTGACCGTTCATGAATATTCATGTTTTTGCTAAACTCGGCAAAATGTTTGCTTTTACTAAATGGAAAAATTACGGTGGGGGGTTGGATGAAATGGACAAAACGAAATAGGCAGAAGTGATCTATGATAATTCATGCTTTTTATGTTTCGTGTGCTCGACCTATAATCTTCAAATCGCTTGGTAAACTGAGTCCAAAGTTAGACTTGTTTCACATGTGTATTATAGGCAATGACGAGCTTGCAACCTATTTTGAAAAATTACGGTGGGTGAACTTTCAAAAGTCAATGAGACATGAGGGCTCCAATGAAAGAGCTAGTGATAACGTACGTCGGGGTGGATGTGCTTTTCGTTTAAACAAAAAATGAATTTTTAACGATTTTTAAAAAAACGTCCATAGGCTAACATGTTAGACTGCTGGCTCTGATCATGCTCTGACGATAGGGGGCGTTGTGAAATGAGACTAAACGGAGCCATATGAATATAAGAGGAAGGGGAGAGCAGCCGGGTCACCGTGCCCCAGAAGAAGAATACCCCCCCCCCCCCCCCCCCCTCGTCTTCATTCGGCAATAATCGGGCAATTAGTCACAATTTGGGACCGAAAGGTAAATAAATTTTAACTGGGAAAGTAGAAAATAAAGCAGCGGTGAAATAACGACTGCAGAATATCCCTCGCTGTTCTTTTTCGATAAGCCTAATATATGGCCCGGGTGTAACCATAACAAACTTGCCACATGATTTTGTTTTTATTTTATACCTCTAACATTTATACCTCTGACATTTTTACCTCTGACATTTTTACCTCTGACATTTTTTCCTCTGACATTTTTACCTCTGACATTTTTACCTCTGACATTTTTACCTCTGACATTTTTTCCTCTGACATTTTTACCTCTGACATTTTTTCCTCTGACATTTTTACCTCTGACATTTTTACCTCTGACATTTTTACCTCTGACATTTTTTCCTCTGACATTTTTTCCGCTGACATTTTTACCTCTGACATTTTTACCTCTGACATTTTTACCTCTGACATTTTTTCCTCTGACATTTTTTCCTCTGACATTTTTACCTCTGACATTTTTACACCGAGCCGAATTACTGGCTGTTAAAAAACACGAATCACATTTTAGATTTCTGAGTGTGCACACACTATGTAATAATGGCTAATAAATAAATAGGGGTGCAGACCTCTTGTACAATATTAGCAGCACCCTATATGATGCAATTGATTTGCACCCCAATTGCACTCTTTTTTCTTAGCGTGCTTGTTTTGATAACACTACATGTAATTTTCTTTCTCTTTCTTTTAATCATTATAACAAATCAAAGGATAACATTATAGATTATTCTTCTCAATGATACCGGAATTGAGATTTGTTTTTATATTTCTTTACATAGTTGTGTTTTTTCTAAACATATAGTTACGACCTAAGAGCGTAAAAAATTCATGCTTTATTGCAAAACGTTGGATTTCGGCAAAGCAATTTGATGTTTAATTATAAAAATATTAACTTTGTTCATTGATAAAAATTAATTTGATTTGTAGATGATTATTGTAAGCCCGATTGTCTTATAAATAACAATGATGAAGAAATGGGACGGAGCAATTCCCCTCTCTAGATATGTTTCAAAATTTCTCTGTTATAGTACTTCACCCCCCCCCCTCTCTCTCTCTCTCTCTCTCTCTCTCCCCTCCCCTCCCTCCCCTCTCTTTTTCTCGGTGTCAGTTACAAGCATTATTTATTCAAGTTGTAGCGTAACTAGTACCGTTAACCTTTTTTAATTTGTGTTTGGCATTACATTTTAAGCCTTGAAGTTTAGTTGTGTTTCATTCAACTATTTTTTTTAAAAATTGAATGCAATTTTGTTTTCCTACCCCCCCCCCCCCCCCCCCCCCCCCCCCCCCCTCCCTCCCCCTCCCACCATTCAGAATAGTCTAGCAACAATAGCTGCACCCCAGGCATTTAACCATTGCATATTATCTTACTGTTTTCTTGTTGGGGGTGGCTAGGGGTCCCCCGCCCCATTGATCACCGGAAAGGCCGTCATAGATTTAAAGGGGAAAGAGGGTGTTGAAAAATGTGTGAACAATTATTTCTGATTTTGGCAATCGTGTTCATATAGGAGCCTGGGATGAAGATAATAGGGGGGGGGTGATTTACTGTCGGGGAAAATGTAAGGGCTACTTTGAACAAACAGAACTTTGTCATTCCTTGCTCAATTTTCCTGATTGAGGTGTCATAATTATGAAAGGGCAGAAACCCAACTTTCTAGAAATGTGATTTTCTCTTTGAAATTCAGATACCGCCCGCCAAACGACTTTTCGGTTTCCTCTCTTCAAATTGATTTTAATCACTCATGCGTGAAATATGCATCATAATGAGTTGCATCAAATGAAAGAGGAGGATCTAAGCTTTCCAAATATGTGTCTTTTAATAATTATAAATGTGATTAAATTATGATAAAACATCGATAATTCTCGGTTTCGTTTTTTCTGGGACGCACTGTATATCTCCATGTATACACAAAGCATGCACAGAATCATTACCCTTCTGATTCTCACCAGATAATATTCTCAATTATTCATCATTCTGCATATTGGTATGATTAAAAATTTACTGAAAAAAATCACCTTCAATGAAAAGCCCACATATTTATGGGTACCTAAGGAACCGGTCGTTTGATCAATCAGCCATATCGTGAAGTTACTCTAGTATCTTCTCTCTCCCCCCCCCCCCTTCTCTCTCTCTCTCTCTCTCTCTTTCTCTCTCTCTATGCTGGTAGGTTCACGTTGTGAAATTACGCATGATAATAAGGAAAGATTGATAGAAATGATGACGTAAAGTGAGGTATTTGTAATTGAGAAAAGAAATGTTTCAAAATCATATTGTGTGGATTTATGACATGTTTTTACAGGCTATCGGAACTCACCTGGCAATCACAACAATACTTGGAGGTGTAATTATTTTAGCTTATGAGACGTATAATGACTTGTTATAACAGGACCTCCCTCTCTGTCTCCCCCCCCCCCCCCCCTCTCTCTCTGGGTCTCTCTCTCTCTTCCTCCCTCTCCCCCTCCATAAGGTTCCCGTGGTTCGATTACTCATGTTAAGGAGAGATTGATAGATATGACCACGGTATTTCGAATTAAGAGAATAATTATTAAAAATTTTTTTTTTTTACTTTTTAAGGCCAGTTCCCGGCCAGAACACACTCAGCAATTTTTATGCCTGGACGAATATTTGTTTAGTTCAAGTTGGTAGGCATAACTATACCTATACCGGAATTTCTGATTTCTCTTTACTCTCTTACCTTCCATCTTTCTTCCTCTCCCCCCCCCCCCCCCCCCCCCTCCTCTCCACTCTCTCTCTATTTGTGCCTTTCTTGCTCTCTCATTCTCACTTCCACCCTCCCTTCAACTACCTCTCTATTGCTATTTTTCTTTCTCTATTTCTCTCATATATAAATACATGTAATTTAAATAAGTTTTATTCTGGAATTGAAATGAGTATGATATTGTTAATTGTTGGAAGTATAAATGTTTTCATTTTAAAAACTGATGTTCTTTTCCGTAATTGTTATTGTGCATTGTAACCCTGCATGAGATGCATCCTATGCAATTTAAATCTCTGTCATGGGTTTTATGTCACATCTTTATTATTATGTTATATGTATTTTCATGAATAAAGATAAACACAATTTGTAACCCACAATATTTATTGGAAGTCTTCAATCATCTAGCATGAACTTTTCTGTCATTACCATAACTCCCCACTAGCTTTCAGAAGTATTCATAATAACTTTCATAACACCACTACAGAACAGACATGGTATACAAGGTATTTGTGTGCAATATTTATTTCTTGATCTTTGATCATGCTATAACTCTCATGGCTCTTTTAAGAGGAGTGATATGTACTAAAAACGATTACCGCACAAAAACATTAGTTTCTGGAAAAAGTGAAAGGATACATGACTACTTTGGTGTCTCATTTACATACAGATCACATGATCACTGTGTGCCATACGAGTACTTATACAAATATAATCTGAGTTTTACTCTTTCTTGGATGATAACAAAAAAATATATATTCAGGAAAAATTAGTACTTCAAGTACTGATATAGTTATTGATAACGTAATATACCTTAAAAAAATGTAAATAGACCTTGACAGTTATTAACAAAGTGACACTAAATTTGATTGAAACATCAATGATTCAGTGATTCTGTATATTATTTTAAAATAGCCCTGGTCTATAAGAAATATTAATATTGATGGTTATTATATTCAGGCAGAATAATTCTGTGTATCTTTTTGAAGAAATTTCACAATAGTCATCAAGTTTTATTTTCACTCAAAATTCATATCACCAAGAGCGCATCTGTTTAACATCCAATCAGTTCAATACAACTGGAATGATATCACAATGATGCAAAATCTACATGTATACCAGCCATGAGGGAAAACAAATTCTTATGCAAGTCTTGCACTGTTGCACATTTTCTTTGTCATTACTCACAAAATAGATGTAGGTTACCAATGTGAATTCTAAAATGTGATATTCATGTAAAATGTGGAATACATAAGGAAGAAGCTGTTGAACAAATTTAAATAATGCGACATCTATTTACCATCAACAACATACAAGTACCACTACCAGTAAAGTACTAATCAAGATGGCAAAGTACACATTGCCTTGTAAAAATACTGTAAATTTGTTTATCATTACTGGTTTTTGCTATAAGAAAAATGTCATTGAGCAATCTACATTGGCCATAGATATATCAACTATGTGCATAAACATTTGGTGAGGAGAGGAGAGTCTTAAACATGGAAGCATTTGTAAGCATTATATTCAACTCTAAAGATGAACTGACCTTCAAATCTATTACTGAAAGTGCTGAAAGGCATTACATAACTGTATTTAATACAGAAATAGTGCCTTTCTGACTCTCATTCAACATTCAATTTCTGGCAGTCTCTATCCGAAGATTAATTTCTTTCATTTCTTAGTATGAAGAAAAAAAATCAGCTACATGATTTATGATACTCATGTTTATGTGTAACTTGCAATAATATTGCAAAGTTATGATTTCAGTGATTACATATGGACTGTTAACAGAAACCTGCCTCAACAAAGAATTACTAAACAAGGAAGAAGCAACTATAAAAAAAGAAAGTGACTCGGGGGGGGGGGGGAAACAAATGAAGAGTGAAATATACAACCGGACTTGCTCCGTGTTGCGGAGTCATTTGGGCCATCCCTTCTTTAGGCTAACATTTCCTTGACGGCCTTGACAATGCAGTTTGCACTGATGCCAAACATGTCGATGAGGACCTTTGAGGGTCCACTGCGAGGAACTCTGTCAACAGCCAGACGGCGTACCACGATGCCTGGTTGGCTGGCTAGGGCACCGGCTACAGCTTCACCCAAACCACCTAGGGCGAGAACAAGCACAGGCAACAAATTACAGATGAAGGTGAATACTGGTCATTTCATTAAGTAAGAAACTTTCTTGAAGCAATTAAGAAGGTTTGATAATGTAGTACATAAGGGATTGATGTATACTGTGAGGGTTTGGAATGATCAAAAGGAAAAGAAAGTTTCGCAATCTTGCTGATACGCTGCACACAGAAATGGGTATATGGGACTACCAAGGCATATCGCATGAATCAAAGGCATAAAAAGCTCACAAATTATTTCACACCTTTACCAGAACTAAACCCCAAAAATGTATAACTAAATTGTATATACCGGTAGTTTATTATAAAATGTACAGAATTGCATAGATCAGAATACCCAGATAAGAAGCACTTTGCTATTCAAATTATCATTCATTTGAAATAGAGTTTATATTCACCTCCCAAAAAGTGTACAAATCAGCTTGAATTTGTGGAAGATCAATACAGTTTCACATTTGAAGCAGATCGACAGACTAAACACTGATATGAAAAGGAAACGGGCTTGCCTCTACTTCAGACAAGGAAACGTCTGAAGTACTGAATATAGATTACATTTATTGTTATAACATGTACTTTTACTCTCAACGGAAGTATGCGGTATGTAGTATGTACATAAAGGGCCATGAACCTACTCCACATTTGCCACCGTGTGAAGCGGTTTGACCCCTTAATTTACTGAACCTAAAAGGACTGGAAAAGAGGGGTGGGGTGCAATCCATTCTTACACTATTACATTTTAGCATTGACTCTCAACTCCTCTCCTTGATCTATGAAATTTCAGCAAAACCAGGCACTGTAAAAATCAGTGCTCAGGGTGTGTTTGTGTGTAACTGGGTTTTTACAGACGTCTGGGGTTTGACCTTTAACGTCAGCATACGACAGACATGACTTAGTTTCTGAGTTTCCCCGAGTCAGTTTGTAGGCGAAGACAGAGACTCGACCAAGTGAATGTACCACTAGATCAACCCCAGGGATGCCAGTTAGAAATGATCAGAGGGCCTGAAAATCACCTAGAATGAGCTATTTTGTACACAAAAAATCCTAAACTATGGTCTGAAAATAACTTGTCAGGACCTGAAAACTGGCATCTCTGCAACTCACATCTCCCTATAAGAACACCATATTCCCAGATATAGTTTACACAATGCTCAGTGAGAAAATGATTATCAATTCACAATTTCCGAAAACCTCTGATGTATTGATCTAAAACACTTCTGTAGCAGTCACCGTCTTTATTCTACCCACCTTCTCTGTAGTGATCCTCGACCGTCAGTACGCGTCCACCTGCAGCCTTAGCACACGCTGTGAGTGTGGCGGCATCGATGGGTTTGATGGTGAAGGGGTCAATCACGGTGACCTTGATACCCTCGTTCTCGAGTAGATCAGCAGCAGCCACAGCCTCATGGAGAGTGATTCCTGCTCCTACAAGGACCACCTTGTCTTCAGCCGACTGGCGGATCACCTACAAACAAAAGACATACAAACATTCAATACTACAATACTTGATGTTTCTTGTCAAATGTATTGTTTAATGTGTGTGCGTATTTGGGTTTTTACAGACGTGTATCAATCAGATATGATTATTTACGTCTGGGGACCGACTTTTAACGTGACCATCCGAAAGACGCGACTTAGTTTCGAACCTGCGTCCTCGGCTGAATCAGTTTGTAACTTCCACTGTTAGCTGGATTACAGGCGCACGCCACAACACAATTTTTAATACATGTTTTATATGTTTAATTGTTTATGGTTTGCATATGTCATGAGGATCTGTACATTTTAAAGCTAATTAACAGAAGGCTCATTACACATGTTTTTTACTCATCTTTCTTGATATATTCCTCGTATATCTTACTTAACCTCCTTTTCTCTTTCTTTCATTCTTTTCTCACCTTTTGTTGATTCTTGCTCCTTGCTCCTATTCCTCATTTATCCATTCTTCCTTACCATACTCATTGAATTTTTATATGTTTTACTAGGATATTTTTCTATAGATTATGTCATAGTTCTAAGACTATTGTACTTTTAACTTGAAAATACATGTACTTTTCAATTGTATTCCAATGGCCATTCAGTTGTAAGACTGCGACCATGTAATTTGTTTAATAAAACCCTGATGATCTAGTGGATGAGTAACACTACTGTGCATTACATGCTTCATGGTTCTAAACATCCTGCAGTACCAATTAATTAAAGCCACACTGTACTACTTGTAGCTACTAGCTCCCTCTATATAGAAAACAATGCCTAATCAGTGACCATTGGTCCCCCATGATCATCTTTTTCTTATGTTAATTGAGAGCCGAGTTGATGAGATAACCACCTGTCCAATGACCTTGCAGTGTGGTCTAATCCCTCCTATTAACTAGTACAGATAAGCTTTAAGGCATTAATCTACATTTTTCACTCTCTTCCCAGGTGAAGTAAATGGGTACACGGTATGAAGATATTCCTTCCAGTTCAGCTTTAGCCGGGGTAGCGATATGATACTTTGTACTATAAGCGCAGTAGAGGATATTTGTATAATAGCTGTGCTATATAAAATGGACATAATTACCATCATCATTATGATATATTATGGTAAACAACAAACTCACTTTGTTACATCAAAAAGAGACTTCAGTACTGGGCAAATTCAAAGATATTTGGTTATTTGGTATCCCATAAGTAACCAAAGTATTATCATAGCATGAACATAAATTGACACCAGATGTATCACTTAACTTAATATACGGTCTGATCTAAACTTTAAGGGGGCTTCCAAATTAAGGCAATCATCAATTATTTAAAAAGTTTGTGGCTGTCATGAATGAGACAAAATAGCTTGGAATTGCCCTAATACAAAATCAAAGAAGTTCTCTGAAAAAGAGAAACTGAAGCTTTCAGTCCTGCATTCCAAGTTTAAATCCTGCATGTTACTCTGATGATTGCAAGACGATAAACCTTCAGTGTCTTTCTGTTAAAACTCTGTTATTAACATCCTTATTCACTAGACAAGAGAGGTTTATTAATTCACATTTAATTAAATGAGCAATGGCAATCTTCATTTTCATGATGCACAAAGAGCCAGAAACTACACTTTCTCTATATTCTGTAAATATATCATTTACAATTATAAAGCAGTGTTGTTTTCCAATCATTTCATGGTTCAAAATACAATGCCATAAAGTTTCTCTGGGCCTGTGAGTGGTGATCAATTTTTGAAATCATCTCTCATTGACTACGACTGGTAAACTTTAACTCAGCATAATATATGCAGGGTTCCCTGCTTTTCATGAAACTTTGGATATTCCAAGACATTCAAGATTTTCCCTGATGGATAGTGTCACTATTAAAGCCCCACTGTCCTACTTGTAGCTACTTGCTCCCTCTATATAGAAAACTTCCCCAATCGGTGCCTGTTGGTCCCCCATGATCCTCTTTTCCTTATGTTAGTTGAGAGCTGAGTTAATGAGATAGCCACCTGTCAGTGACCTTGCTGTGTGGTCTAATCCCTTCTGGCCCAGTAGTATTGACTGTCTTTAAAACCTATTCCAAATTTAAAACATCTCAAAAAATTGGATATCTATTAAGAGATGAGACAAAATATAAAAGACAGACTACTTTCTATGGTGGCTATTAAAATTTCTGAATTCTTGATTTTTCTCTTCTGTATTTTTTTCCTCCCTGACCTTTGCTTGACTGGTAAATAGGAAACTCATTTTCCAGGATAAATGGGGACCCTGCCATGAATTCTAATTTAGTCAATGTAACATGCTACCAGAATGAATGTATGAAAGGAAGATTTATCATACCTTGGCCTTTCCAACCTCAAAGACTTCATCGTTGCCATAGAGGAGATCCGTGGTTGGGCGGCTGGTACGGGTGAACGTGATACCCTTGGTCTTGGCAGCCAACTCGATGGCACGCTCACAAGAGACCGGATCACTGGGGTAAAAGACAGTACAGGTCGGGATGGCACGGAAGATAGCAATGTCCTCAAGAGCCATCTGGGATGGTCCGTCCTCACCTGAAATTAATACACATACCAATGATCTTGGAGTTGAAATATCTATTACTGTATCGAGGGGGGCGACATCCAAATATAAGTTGATTCCTGTTAATATGCGGGCTGCATACAATCTATATTTTGTTATTCAAACATCTAAATATATTTCAGAGATTTTTAATATTTTTTTAAATAATTTTCTCAGACCTGCTAAGCTCCACCTTAAAAAAATTCTCCAACTCTGTCAATCATTAGTGAGGAACCAAGAGACAGTGGTATGTAACTTCACCAGAGCTGATCACCTGTTTACAATAGACCATAAAATACCAACATAGGATTTGTTATGTCAGATGTGCTGTAGCATCAATAGGAAAAGAAAGGTTATGTGGAGATTGTATGAAAGAATGCAATTCTTTTGTGAGAATGTGCTGAGCTGGGGGATGTTACAAGTTTACAATAATTGTTATCATAAATTAATTATAAATCTTAGATTCCTTATCCTAGATGACACATCAATAACTATTGTGAAAGTCACAAAGAAATTCTCTTGAAAAAATGTATCCTGTATTTATTCACAATTTAAGTGACCGTTATCCACACTGCAGTTAAACCGTTCACATAAACTCTTCTTTGAGATCTTGTGGAAGTTCTCTTTATCCATCCAAACCATTCCTACTATCCTAATGCTGGTCATTCTTACCAATAGAAACACCACAATGAGAGCCAACAAAGTTGACGTTGGTCTGGGAGATGGCACCCATGCGGATCTGATCGTAAGCCCTTGCCAGGAAGCAAGCGAAGGCGCTCACGAACACCACATTGCGGTCACGACAGGCGCAACCGATGCCCACACCAACGAGATTCTGCTCGGCGATGAAGCACTCAACGAATCGGTCTGGGAAGGCATTCTTGTAGGTGATGGCAAAGGTGGAGTTCTTGGTGTCCCCATCCAAGGCCACAACGTTGGGGATGGAATTGCCCAGTTTGACAAGAGCAGTGCCATACGCAACACGGGTTGCAACCTATGTATGGGGGAGGGGGCAAAGGAAACATGAGACATCAAGAATTGAAGTGATCAAAGTATACTTCTATCCAGTTGAAGCCAAATCTTGGGGGTCTGGACTTAGATTTTGGGTGCCATGTGTCCTGGGTGCCTGTTAATGTCAAGCCCGGCTTATGGGTTCTAAATCTACCTTTTTTTAAAGTATATATTCTAGGCTAATAATATTATAAAGCCTCATCAACATCAATGTTCTTCCTCAGGGCCCTATAATTGTTATTACCACAGCAAATATCACGGGAGATACCAACAACAAAATACTCAAAAATACCATCCTTACCCTTTGGTAATAAAATGTTGAATAATCAGTACATAAGGCAACGGTTGGAAGCAAGATTTTATGGCTTGTGACAATGGTTAAGCATTCTTTTACATCACCGCTTCAGTATTGTTTCCATACATCCTTAGACAAGTAAATAAATCAATAATTTAACTATTTTCCCAAACTTTTTTGTAATGTTGAATAGCACTTATATACAGGCAATCTCATCCAGCACTGCATAAATCAGTGGTGAGTTCTTGAGCATCCATGCATCTAAATCTTAGTGCCATACCTGTCTATAATCAGCCTATAAGAGGATTACTCACTTTCTTAAGAAGGGGAATGGTATTACTCTTGGGGGCACCAAAGGGTGGATAACTGTATCACTTGCCATAGGGTCATCCACACTCTAAACCTAGATTTCCTTGTTATCTCTCTTTGTGAGTAGAGCGTCTGCCTCACAACCGGGAGGTCGCGTCATACCAAAAGACGTTAAAAGATGGGAGTTGTTGCTACTTTGTTTGGCATTTAACAATAAGGGATAGAGCAACGTTGATCTGGCGCTGCTCAGTGGCTGCCGGGCTCACGATCAATTGGGCAAAAAGAATTTCCGTTTCGGTTTAATAAAATTTGGAGTGGACTACTAGGCTATTATTATTATTATTATTATTATTACTACTTTGGAAACCTATTATGTTCGAGTGGTAAATTTTGCTCTTAAGGATCTGGTGTTGCTGTTTTTTGTCAAATAATCTCGCATTCCGCTTGGAAAAATGTATAATGGATTTGGGTTGCTCAATGAAAAAAAGACAGAGAGAAAAAAAATAGATCATCCTTGGTTCCCGAAAAATGTTTGAATTTGTTGAAATTTATCGGCACTATGCAGAAATCTACGAGAAGCTGATAATTGCATACCTCAACCTGTATAAAACTAGATCACACTAATGTTACGTAATGGTGCTCAGCCAAGCTGACTATTTAAACTATGTTCTATCTTCCACATACCTTATCCCCAGTCTTATAGCTTGGAGGCTCACTCAGACACACTTTGGAGAGATCGTGCTCAGCCAGAGGAGTTGAAGCAGGTGGGACGATACCATGGGGTCCAGGGTTGGAGATAAGAGCCTTGATGGCATTCAGAGCTCCCTCAGCCTTAGCACCAAGAGCCTTCCCATGCCAATTCTCAAGATCCTCCACATCTACAAAACAAAAATACATCATTGGTTAATTCTTGTATTGCTATACCTCCCAAAATATCACTATTAAATCTGGCTTAGACCTAAAAATAAAAGATGTTATATTGCCCTTTAGGTGCCAAAACATGTGTTGGTTGGGTTGGCCGATTTTTTTTTTTCTTCTTCAAACTCCCTCTTTGGGCTGGTATTTTTTAGTTTTTAATGCTTTAATACAAATTTTTTCTAAAAAAATGTAAAAATGAAAACTTTTTTAAAAAGCCGACCATAGATTTCAAGATTTTTGGGTCGGTTGCAAAGGGCAATACAACATCTTTTTTGTTTTAAGGCCTTATATATAAGCATATACATGATACAACGATCGATGCAATGATCCGATTCAATAACTACCACTATCAAACCCTTATGTGTTCGATTACAAGTTTAAAATACATTTGGTTTATATAAGCTAAAAGTAGAAATGCATATGCATTGCAGTCACAGGAAAATCTTTCCATCATATTCCATAGATGCAAGAAGTTTGGACTCGCTATGCAGGTCCCAAACTATGGAAATGGGAGAACTCAGGAAAGCCCAGCTCCTAACCCTGGGTAGACACTTACCTGGGCAGCCCTTGCCCTTGAATGTCTTTGCTACAATGGCAGTAGGCTTGTCCTTGACGGTGGAAGCATCATAGAGGGCCTTGTTCAAGGCCTCCACATCATGACCATCAACAATAATAGCATGCATCCTGTTGATATTGAAATATAACATGGTTAACCTTTTGTTATCAGAATACTTCCAGTATGAGGGAATAAGCTTACATTCCAATGTTTTCAAAAGTTGATATAACTTCTCGTCATAACATAGATATTTGAACAAAACGTATATCAAGAATTTGCACAAATTTGTACATTTTTAATCTGACAATGGTCATTCAAAATTTTTGTGAGCAAAGCCTGAGCCCTGTCTTACCCTCAATTTGGCCTTTCACTTTGTGTCCTTTAGATCTTACCTACCTTAAGTCCCATTTAATACATCATCAATATCTGAACATGCTGTGCCCTACAACATCTTTGTCTCTTACATCATGTTCCTTCAATACCACACATCGCTTCGAATCCTGCCTCCTTTTACACTAATCATTCACACAATGCCTACCTTCCTATACTGAATACCTTTACACACTGCATCCCTTTACACTCTCTCTACCCTGTATTCACTTACACCCTATATCCCTTTACACCCTCGATTCCCTTACACATTCTCTACCCTTTATTCACTTACACCCTATATCCCTTTACACCCTCGATTCCCTTACACCTTCTCTACCCTGTATTCACTTACACCCTGCATCCCTTTGCTCCCTCTATTTATTTACACCATGCAACCCTTTACATCCTGCATCCCTCAACACCCAGCATCCCTTTACAACCAGCACCCATTTACACCAGGTATCCCATTTCACCCTATGCCTGTCGACATACCCAAATGCTTCCAATCTCTTCTGGTAGACTTCCACCTGGTGCTCAAGGGAAGCTGGTTGACTCTGACCAAGACGGTTGACATCAAAGATGGCCACAAGATTGTCCAGTTTGTAGTAGCTGGCGAATGCACATGCCTCCCAGATGGACCCCTCTGCGCTCTCACCATCACCGACCAAGCAATAGGTGCGATAGCTGAAGACAAATTCAAATATCTGTAGTTGTCATCAAAATAATATGGCAAGTCTAAATACTTTTCCCATTCTGGACCAGCCAATCAATAATAAAGGTAAATGCTATTTTGTAGGTGGCATGTATAATTTATTTGTCAAATGGCAATCTTTCCCCCTCTTCCCTCCAAAATAAAACAAAACCAAAACCAAAACAGCTGGTAATGTTTAGAAGTATGTGTATTTTGAATTACAAACGTTAATATTTTTTTTAATCAAATATTTCAGTTACTGAGCAACATACTATTGTATACTAGCTGTGCTATATAAAGTGGACACAATAAATCATTGTCTTCTGAGAGTCATCCAAGTGTTTTTAATTTGGTTTCCTCAAAGCTTTCCCTGAACATGCAGATATTTGGGATCACCATCAAGAAAAACATTGACAATGGTTAAAGTCCAATACCTCACTCACACCCCCAAACCAACTCCACACCGACTCTAAACTGATCAATTCCTGGCCATTTCAGAAAATGTAAACTTTTTGGGGGTCTCTCGTCAGTCTGGTGTTGGTCTTGGCGGGATGACTGAGGTAGGTACTAGGAGAGTTACTTACTCGGCCTTGTCAAAGTACTTGGCAGTATAGGCCATACCTGCAGCCACACTCAGACCCTGTCCCAGTGAACCAGTAGCCACATCTACGAACGAGAGTCTCTGCAAAACACACATTCAATATCTTGTCATTGCTTCATACAGTCAGACCCTGATGAAACATTTTTTGATATTGTCTGATTTCTTTTTTATTTTCATGAACATTGGTAGAAGGATTCAGGACCTTTGTATGTTGAGAGAAAATGAATTTAATTAACAAAAAAGAGGTTGCTTTGAAGTCAGAAACAAAACAAAAAAATAATTGAAATAGACATCAAAATAATTATGTGACATGTCTCAGCTATCACTTAATATTGTTGATTTGATTGAAGTCCTTGAATGATAAATATATGTATTAAACATGATCTGTGAAGTAGACTACAAAAAGGAGAATTGACAAGGTGTTGTGATCCCCATAACAGAGGCTCTAGCTTCACATTCCAAAAAGGGGCAACGTAAAGTTTTGAAACCCCAAATTAATAATTCTGTTGACATTTTTCTACATGCCATAGTTTCCAAAATATTTCAATGGAAATATAACTTAACAAAACCTGAAATATCTTTTGTCAAGCTTAACCTTCTCTTCCCTTGACCCGACACCCTGGAATGCACTCTAAAGCACTCAACTGTAAAACCTGTATACATGCTACACTGCTGTTTGTAAAGCAAATAATGTGACCTAGAACAAATTTGTCTCGATGGCAAATCAACATGCCATTTATCAGTCTAGACTAGTTTGTAATAACCAAATGATGCCATATGGTTTAAACAAGAAGACGTCCAACTGTGTGCATTACAAAAAAACTACTCTCAAAGTGACAAGAGGTTCTGCATGTTGCAGGTTAGTAGCCAATGAATGTTGTCCCCCTTTCATTGGTGTGTAAATGACGAACGATTACATGACATTGTGACGATCTAACTTCAGAGATAGCAAAATCTAGCATGCAGTGGATCGCACTATGTCTTCTAGTGAGAAGGGGGTCTACTTACAGGAGTAGGATGTCCCTCCAGATCGTTGTCAATCTTGCGGAGATTGTTGAGGTCGTCGACACCGACCAACCCAGCTTCAGCCCAGGCTGCATACAAGATAGGAGCAGCATGACCCTAAAGAAGAAACACAATTAATCATCTAAGTCAGTTATGTATTTCATGCTTAGAAAATCTTTAATATCAAATTATTTCAAACACACGATCTCAAATTTGTTATCATGTACATGTATTTTAGGAAACTGTCTAAGATTTGTTAGTGTACTTTAAGTTCTCAAAGTTCTCCTCATGCATATGTTTGTCATTCAGCTGTCTGTGCTTTGTTGTCAGGGTTTTCGAGCCTGTCATGAAAATTTTAGGTATACGTGAAATATGTCTTTATGCAGAACTCGGTCGAATGAAAGAAATGAAAATTCCCATTATTCCAACAGTTAGCATATTCAATAGTGTGAGCAAACCTCGTTTTTTTAAAAAACTATTTTCATGATCCAATGCACCAATACAATGCTACAGCCTAAAACTAGCAAACCTTGCCACAGAACAAACAGAACAATCACTCTATCATGAGATGGATATCCCCTAATACTTCAGTCACACCACCAAACTCGCACCACATTGACTCCAAACTGTCCAATTCTTGGCCATCTGGGTTGATGTCATTATTTTTTTGTTCGGTCCTTATTTAGTCTGGTGTCGGGCTCATCTGTGTAACTCGAGCAGATTCATGAGCAGACAATACGATTGTACTTTTGTAGGTGACGCGACATTTGCTCCTGCTACAATTGCTCCGGGCTTTACTATGTCAAAGGTATAGAGCTGGTACAGAGTTAGGGTTTGGGTTAGGTATAGTGATGGGTCCAGGGGGCGTTTCACAAAGATCCTAAATTGAACTTATCTGTAAGTTGGACTTAACAATTATGGAAAGCCATTAGCATCTATGAAATTATTTTGTGAAAGTTATTTTAAAAGGCATAAAATGTTGATTCAAATCATTCATATTTTCTATTATCAAGGAGGTTTCATGTTCTTAATGTGGCATTTATAAAAAAAAGTCTAAAATACTTCAATTTTCACTTTTGATTATATTTTATTCTACGTTTAAGTCCAAGAGGTAAGTTCAACTAAGAGTTAAGTTCAACTTAAAATCTTTGTGAAACCATCCCCCAGGATTGACGTTATGAATTCGCTTAGAGTTTAAAATTGAGGTGGAGCACTTGTGGCAGGAGCAAGTGACGCACGACCCGACCCAGGATTGAATCCTGACTGCTGACCTTTGACATGATGAAGCGGTCACTACCGGGGTCACGTGGCTTGCTGATGGAGTACCTCATGGTGTTGAAGAAGAGCACAGACATGATCTCTGCAGCAGAGCAGCATGATGTTGGATGTCTGAAGAAGAAAAGGAGATAAATGAAATCATAACTGAATTGAAATGAACTTAATGGATGTACTATGACATTCATTCGCCTTGTCCTTTCCATCGAGTTTGACCTTACATGTCTGTGATAAAGGTCAAATTTAATACACAGTGTTATTTGAGGTCATGCATTTTATGACACTACTTTACTTCAATGCATCTACATGTAGTTGATCTAAAAGAAAATTGATGATCTGTTTCTTCAAATAATTTCGAACCAAATGTTTTTCACTTTAGTACACTATTCTTGTTATAAAACTTAAATTTCATTTTTTTCCAGGTTTTTTATAATAGAATTAATCAACCGTAACACATTATGTGATTTACTCAAATTACAGTTGTTCCAGATTACATTTGTAATAACAAATTAAAGCCCCTCTTAAGTGTTGGGAGCCCCCAAAATTTGATGGAAAAATTTCGCTTATAACTGTTTCATAATGTGAAAAGGATGTCATTTAAGACACATTTCTTCAAGAACTTTTAAAACAAATGTGTTTGAAGTTGAATATCCAAGAAAGAATACAACATTTAGGTTTTCTGCATACAACAGAAAACCCTAATTTTGTATTCTTTTAACAATATTTGTCTTTACAGTTCAAACACATTTTTGGGGGAAATCTTTGCAGAAGTGTGTCTCAAATGACATCCTCTTTTCCTATTACCTATTTCTGGTTCTACTAATTATTCCAAACTATCATTTGAGGGATCCACGGTCCACAGTTGTACAAGCATTGCTTTTAAGTGGGCCTCTCTGTTTCCAATAAATATGTATTCCTTAATTATTGTAAATTATTATAATTCATTTGTGATGATTTGTTGAAAACAGAAATAAAATTGAATTGAATTGGAACACTCAAAGTAGGTAATGCAATGCCGACTTCTTCCTTTTTTTACAAGCTACTGAATTTCAGTATCAACAAATTGCAAATCCCCCAAACAAGGAAGTAAATTTTTAAAAATATAAAAAAATAGTACAAATATTTACAGTACCAGTTACCTTCTGCTACCAAGCTACATTTCCTGCTAAACCTAATTCTCTGTCTTCTTTCTTTTTCCATTCTAACATATTTTACAGACTAACATGTACCACACAAATATAATAAGTAGTATCACATACATATATCTTTGCTTGTTTGAACAAGCAGTCAAGGGTAAAAGATAACTACTGACTGACTCAGCTTTTTTTTTAAACTGCACAATCCATTAAAATGAACACAAATTAAAGTCATAATCTACATGTATGCAGTATTTTGGTTCACAAAACATGCCCACTTACTCAAAAACCCTATAAACGATTTCGGTCAGAATTAAGCCATTCCTACCAGGTCTGCTGATCACAGTCCCCTGATTTCCAGAGACACTTCCTATTTCTATTCAAAATGCTTCCTCAACTGATCAGAGAATGCTAACTATCCAAGCCCGGACAAGCAAACCAGTCGTGATGCATGATGCTTTGATACTTCCACATAATTGTATTTTCTATGCGATACATCGTAAGGCTAGAAAATATTGTTTGTTTGGTTCACATTATTTATTACATAACAGGACGTAAGATGTGTGTTATAGGCATTTTGGGATTGCTGAGCATGATAGAGCGTGTCATGCGGAGAAGCAATTTATGGGTGTAGTAGAAAAGTCACTCTAGCCCCTGTCAACCACGCTTAGTACAGTACATGTAATTTTACATATCTTCTTAAAATTAAATAGTTTTATCGCAGAGTAAACGCCATTTGAATTGTTTCAAAATTGGTTAAGCCAAATACGTTCAACTTTCAGAACAGTGTGACAAATCAACAAACTAAACGCTGCCAAAAAAGATATTGAAAAGGTGCACTTAATCAACCAGCCAAATTGTCAGGTTGAGTTAAACAGTGCATTTCTGTCATTAGGGTTTTCCAGAGCTTTTTTATCTGTTTTTTTTTCTTCTCCAGCCTAGACGAAACGTCTTAATTCCTTTATAGATTAGGTACACCCTTTTGTGTACATGGGTGTTTGTTTGTTGCATGCATGTCAGACAAATCACCAGCTGTCGCTTCTAGCCGATACTGACAGGACATATCCCATGTATATATTGGTGTATTTTTTCATTATTTCTTCTTCAATGACATATGTGTTGTATGTAATGGTGTAAGGAGAAAATGAGTGTTGAAAGAGGGGTGTATTTTGAACTTCTAAAGGACACACCCTCAAAGTGGCTCAACACTAAAAGGTAACAAATAACATGTGGGACCCAAAATCTTGTTACATGTACTTGTGCATACCCCTAAAAATGTCAAAACATTCATCAAGGGCCATATACATTTATAAAGGGCTCAAAGGGCATACAGTATACACATAGACACTACAAATGCACTCCATACCCATTTTGAAAAAAAGCTAGGAGGTACGAAATCAAGACCAGATACCAAGAAAACTACCCGGGACAGGAAGGAAATACCCAACTAAACGAGCTAAAGGCAACTCATAATACAGCATGCCATATCATCTGTACATGGGTATTTTGCAGCAAATAAATTTTGTATAACATCCTGATTGTTGACTGATTTTACACAAAAGTACAAACAGATAAACACTTTTCTATACTTTTGGTTTCATTTTCAATAACAACCTAGATTCTTTTGAAGGTTTTGGTCATTGTTAAATACTCACTGCCTCGCTTTTGAGCAAGAAGGGAAAAAATGAATATAAAGAGAAAAATTTCGATAAACATAAACAATGGGACACAGGCAGTAGTTTGGTCATGCTTTGCTTTTGAGCAAGAAAGGAAAAAATGAATATAAAGAGAAAGATTACAATAAACATAAACGATGAGCCACAGGCAGTATAGTGCATCCTGGTGCCTCTATTCATGTGAGGAACCCTACATCAGGATATACATTCCAACATCACCTGCATGCCTTAATTTCACACAGAATAATATTACAATTGATATTTGAATTAAAAACAGAAAATGATACAAAAATCTATGAAAACTATAAATCTTTCCACACAATAGTGTTATTACGAAAAGATCTAACTCTTGATGCATTTCTGAAGGTATAAAGAGGCATTCCAATACCATTCATACTGTAGCAGGCACTATTTGTAACCAGCATAATTGAACTTAATGAGTGGAATTCACAAGCAACGGGTGGGGTACCCTCTACCTCTCTACCAGCAGAACATTTGCTTCCCTCAACATAAGGTACCTGATGGCGTAATTTAATAACACTCTGGTATTTGATATTCGCAATGGCCAGGTCTTTCATTTGTGCGGCATTTAAAACCAATCAGCTTGGAATTCAGTAGTATTAAAATTTAAAACAAAAAATTAGTATGTACACAGACGAAGACAAATAGTTTGTGAACATCCGAATTAGTTAACGAGTCTATTTATTGTGACTTACACTGGCTGGGCTTACCCATAACTTAAGGTGTTGTGTTTCAAACCTGTCCCTCATTATTTATAGTTTCTCTAATTCATACTAAGTTTCTAGTATTGTTGGTGTTGCATTTCTCCGTACAGCGAAAGAAATAAAATCAACATGTTATTTGATAAGAACAATATTCTATGCTATGTATACACTGTATAATATAGACAAATCAATAAGGGGTCTAATTTCTTTGCAGCTGTATTCCCCTTCGTGAGCAATTATATATTTCCTAGTGTATGACATGATTCTTTTCTTTCCTTCTACAATATTTAGGGGCATAACCTGCTTTACAATGTTCTCTATTTATATCACACCTGTCGAGTATTCAGAGCTAGTGGTGGAGTAATATAAGTAATCTACTCCAAACCAAGTCACAAGCTTTCATAGGGCTCTATTTGAGCAGGGAATCGTTTTAAATAATTAGTTACTATCACATCGTAGGTTGTAACTGTATGCAGGAGATCGTCATGTTTGCCGGTGGCACTATTCTTGATGATGGCTTTGCACCATCTTTGCATCTACATAAGCAATTCTGCCCCTTCAAATTTTCATTAAATCGGTTCCTTATGAAGTACATGTACATTCTCAAGTAGATTCATTAGAATTTTCCTCAGCCATCTCTCTCTAAAACAATCACTACGGTGTTAAATTTTCAACTTTAAAATCTGGAAAGCAATGTTTGTGACCCAATGAAAAATTTCTGCCCTTTAAATTGTATCAGGTAGTCAGTAAACATTCAAGAAGTAAATTGCACTGCATAAAAGGCCAATCTTCTATTGATTTGAATTAGCTTTTTGGAGTTCAAAATTTTGTTCTCATCATGCAAACTCTTCATGATGGTCCTTGCAAACTTAAAATAAAAGAAATTGTATATCCAAGGGATGGCATGTGGAAAAGATGCCAGACGTCTTTAGTGAGTACTGTTTAGAAACTTCTTAAACCATTTTCATGTTGCCAAAGTGGAATTTTAAAACATACCCTGATCCAGCAGCAGTGGTACAATTGATGCTGTGCACTCGGAGCTTGTTGGCAATATCCTTCAAAGCCTGTTTTCTGTCGTCAGCAAGAGTAGCAGACATGATGCTAAACAGAGTGTTGCCTCAAATTTTACACAAATCTGACACAAGAATCTTCAAAATATCCCAGATACAAGCTCTGATCTGACTGTGCTCAACGATGGGATTTACACCACACCCCAAACTAAAGAAGCAGTAGTCAATACTCTCAACCAAGTGGATAGCCAGCAGGATGGTCGAGTGTGGACGAGAGTGCACAGTCACGCCTCTCTCTATCTCTCTCAGTTTAAAAGCCAAACACGCACCAGTGCACATCACAAACCAGTGCACATCACAAACCAGGAAGCAGAGAATGCTCTGGGATTGTTATGCAAATATAGAGAGATTTACTGGAAGCAAAGGAGGCCAAACCGTCTGTGATTTGATACAAAACAAATAATGAACAAGTGGAATAACTAATGGGACATTACACTTGTTGTGTCATTACGCAAGTCCAAATGTACAAAAGTTCACATTTTTACAGAGTCAAGTTGGAATGACTAAGCATAATCACAAACTCTTTGTAAACAAACTGTAAAATGTAGAACTTCAAAATCAGACAAATCTCACATTTCTGTTTGAAAAACAATACAGATACAACTGAAGGACAGGCATTTTGAATGGAGGTCCCTATGCATGAGACTTTAAAAAGCAAAGTAATTTAAACTTCAGTGATACAATGCTTCAAAAAGTACTAATGTATTTTAATTCATCAAATCAAATAATACATACCGGTAAGCATGCACATTCAAGTGTATCTGAACAATGGACACACCATAATGTAGAACATGAATTGCCCTAAGTATGCAATACTCTACTGTATGTCATTCCAAAGTTCTACATCTATTATCAATGAACAAACTTCTACTCCAGTTCTTGCAGGGCGTTCAGGATTAGTCAGAACGAATCTAGTTTTTCAAGGATCTGCATGAGTGATCTTGGTGCCTGGTAAATTTTAGTTGGCATGACTAGACAGAAAATGGACTTTCATTGACCAACAAACAAACAAATGAAATTAATGCATGATGAATGCATGAAAAAAAAAAAATACAAACTTGGAACAAAAGAAACATACACAAACAAGACAAATGATTTTCACAGAAATATTATATCTAAAATCAACAAAATATGAAAAAGGATACAGAGACAATTCTTCCATTCGTTTGCACCTAAATCCCTCAACGTACATGTAGGCCTTTCCCTTTTCTTTCAATTATTATGATGGTATTATTTGTCTGCAAACTTTACTGACATGTTTCTTCTAGACTCAAACAGCTTTCCATGGAAGAAGGAAGGGTTATATTTCCACTGAATTGATCATTCTACATGTGCAATAGACAAAATCAGAGTGTACAGTACATTCTCTAACCATAAAAGGCAGTGCCGATGTCTATAAGAACCACATATTTGTAATAATTTTGTGTTATAAACTGAGACTTAAGCCTATCGAGGTAAATGGTAATTGTGATATCATGCAAATACAAGTAGAATGTTTTTGTGTCCTTGTGTTATAATCAGTGGCTCAGAGTCCAGCCATTGAGGGGCCAACAGTCTTAGACCCCATTCTCACTCACTTCCTGGACCGATCCACTGGATTGCTCCAGAGGAACGGTTCGTTTATGTTCACACCTGACTTGCCAGACCTCTCTTGTTGCTATGGTAGCACTAATGAGCTAGACTGTTCCTGTGGTAGCAAAGATCAGTGGGTCAAATGTTACGCGCGATAATTAAAAATCAATATGTATTGCCTCATCTTCCGCTATATTAAGTATTTTTTATCATTCCACATTTTTTCTTTCTATCTTTCCTCATGTTATTCTTTGTTTCCCTTCTATCATTTTCTCTTTCTATTTTTCTTATGTTATTCTTTGTTTTTCCATCTTTCATATTCTTTTCTATCTCTGAATTTTCTATTTCTGTCCTTCCTTACACTTATTCTAATTTCTTTTCTTCTATCACCTACTCTTATGTTATTCTTTGCTCTTATTATTCTTCATTTTCTCTTCCTATCTTTCCTTACACTATCCTTTGTTTCTTCCTTCTATCATCTATTCTTATGTTATTGTTTGTTTTGTCATTCTATCATTTTTCTCTTTCTTTCCTTATTAAGCGGAAAGCCAAAGTCATATATCATGCTAAGTTTTTGAGTTGCCTGCCAGGCTGCCACTACCACATAAACTAAGCATACCTTGTTAATTCAAAAAAGATTTTGTCATAACACATGATATTTCAGAGATGTTATTTTTCTAAATTGTAGCAAACACCCCTAAATCAGAGGGGGCGTCCAAAAAAGAGGCACTTTGACGAAAAATAGTAGCATAATAGCAAATCTATCCATGAATGTGCCTCCACCCCCTTTTTGGGGCTGGCGTTCTGGGCAGCCAGGATAATGCCAATATCTTGCCAGCAAACTATGTTCTCATCAGCCCCTATCACAAATGTTATAATGATGCTATAGAACAGGGATTCTCAAAATTTTTCTTTGATAATGACTTCTATGAAAGCTGTAAGGTCCGAAACATGGGATGCCAAGATTTGCCTGAAATTATTAATGTCGATTGAACTAAGTAGAACAATGTACAATATGATTGCTGGAAAGCCGGGCACAACTCAAACATTGCTCATTTTTGTTTCAGACTTAAACAATCTACTCCTAAATTTTACAGTAATGACACTTGTATACTGAAGAAATGATGCAGAGCCCCAGGACACTTTAGAGTTTTAGCAATTCAGGGAGCTCCGACGCTGACAGAGCAAATGTGAATATTCGTGATATAGAGCCATTCACTCGGAATTGCTGAATATGCAATAGTGCTGTAACATCACGAATATCTACAATTCTGTTTAACCGCCAGTCAAAACTGACAATTTTTTGTTAAACTATTTTTTATTTTTTTTAATAAATTTTTTTTTTTTAATTAAAAAAAAAAAATTGTTTTTTTCTTTTTCTTTTTTTTTTGTGTCCAGCAAGCCAGGTCCGTGTGAAAAAACGGGAAGGACTTTCATTTAACTGCGAGGTACAGTTGAAGGCGCCGATTTATGCTTGTGAACTTGTCACACATAATAGTAACAATGTCGTTTTCAGAAGAATGTGTAAAATCATTAATGTAAATTAAACACAGTAGGATAGAACCTTGTGGTACGCCATGTGTAAAAATTGGATGAATTATTATTATAAACTACATATTGAGATCTATTACACAGATTACTTTCAAACCAAGATGACAGAAAAATTGGAGTGTTGTTCTAGTTTCCGAGTGGTGAGTCAACACACCGATTACTGAGCTGGGAGACATTACCAGGCATAGTGCCAGGTGGAGGGGCATAAATCGAAAATTCAAAAAATTATAAAAAATTATTTTTTTTAAAATTAAAAAAAAACAAAAAACGGGAAAACAAAATCGCCAATTGAAAACGGAATCCGCCATGGGCGGTCGGATACCGAACAGTTTAAACGTTTGACTACAGCACTAATATGCAAGAGGTTGAGAAGGGCTCTGTCTCCTTGATTCATGCATATTCAGCAATTTCGAGTGAACGGTGCTCTATAATATGAATATTCATATTTGCTGCGCCGCTACCGCAAATGCGTACTGTCTCTTCGCCATGTTGAATCAACGATACAACATGGATGAATCGTCGGGTTAGGAGGAAGAATCACGCTTTTTCCCATCAAAGACTTAAAGTGACTCTGTAACATTGTTGAAGGTTCATTACAAAATTGTGTGATTTTGGTATTAGGGTGTCTGATCGCGCACCCGATGTTGTGCGCTAAAATTCTTCCCATAGAGATTACACGCATCCCTATGCAGTCTACGTGCATTGCGCGACCATGCAAAAAAAGTCAATTTTTTTTTTTCAATTCGAGATTCAAACCTTTATCTGTTGTGATCCTGAAGGTGATAATCAATAAATGAGGTGTCATATGAAAGAGCAGGTAAATTCCAATATTTCTAAAGGGGCGTAGCCCCCGAAATTCTAAAAATATCTTGGTCAAAACAGCAATTGAAACATTGTGTCCTGGCTAACTCTGAGGTTTGTCACTTTTGAGATATGACGCCCCGATCGATAAGTAGTCCCAGTCCTAAGGAACAATTCTATGTGCTTATATTTTCGCTAGCCCCCAGGGATCACAACTGATAACAGTTTAAAAATACCCTTCTCGCTATTTGGTGGATCAGCTAATTAGGGGGCGTGCGCTCCGCTCAGTCCAAACCATGGTTACATCGCGTAACATCTCCGCGCACGAACGAAACCCCAAATTCAAGTATGGGTGGCCATTCGCGGCATAGAACCCGGAAGTGAATACACGTTATAGTCAATGGCAATATCGCGGAGACATCTCCGCGATATTGCCATTGACTATAACGTGCATTCACTTCCGGGTTTATTGTGCGACGAACGCCAACCATACTAGTCAATGGCACATGTCGCGGAGACAGCGTAGCTCAAGCTGCAAGTCGCGGATTGGCATAGCAGCATGCGTACGATATGCATACGCTTGCATATCGCGCGATACAGCTGTTTGGCTAAATTTAGCAAAACAACATCACTCTGCGTAGACGTCTTTTTCATCGATTTTGACCAAAATGATATGAATATACCAGCGTTTTGGAGGGGCTGTAACTTTTGATAGAAACATCGGTGAGACTTGAAATTTGAAATGTATTATTCTGATAACATCTTTTATTCAAATATCAAACAAAAATGGTGAAAAACGATCCCAAATTGAAAATTGAAAAATCGTTCAGACACCCTATTGGTATGAAATGTTACATATTATCTTCCTTCTACTGTACTCTAATATGCAAAAAATCCTGAAAAAATTATAAAACCACAAAGATATTAATGGAAGGAAGGCGTCACTATCCCAATTTTTATTGTTAATAATGGTCTGTTTTCACTCAAACTTTCAGATTATCTGCAACTGTACATCTAGCATTGAAGTCACTACCTTAGCACCATTTTCTCTCACTTTTACAATGTTACCAAGTCCCTCTAATCCTTCAAATTATTATTTCAAGTGGTTGGAAAGATGCCCAGAGAAGTAAAAAAAAAAACATTGCAAGTCAAAATTGTAACTCTACTACCTCTTTACATTGTGAAAAAAAAATCTGATCCAACCCACTGTTTGAATCGTTTACAGAAACGAGCTCCGACGCCTTCGGCATCTGCGTCGGAGCTCCCTGAATCTGGAGTTAGCTAGGTCGGTGTTGGCGACTTAATCAAACATTTCGACCCAGTGATCGGCAAGTAGACCCAGCTCAGCTCAGGTCACAATTCGAATTTTCAAAATATTCTTTCTAACATCGCCATCGGTAAGTTCAAAAAATTTCCTTAGGTGTCAGCAATGGTCACTAAAGTATCAATTTTTAGTGATCTCAGTTGAGTTTTGTACAGTGGTGTTTGAAATGTTGTTTAATACACAGCCATGATATGGTGCATGCGCGTGGTGTACACATTCGTTCGACCCGGAATACTTACCCAGAACCTGCGGCACTAGTCGACGAAATGCTGTGGATTCTCAACTTGTTTGCTATGTCTTTCAGTGCCTGGAGCCTCTTGCTGTCTGGACGATGATATGGGTCTGTCATTTTTACTGATTCTGGAGTTAACTGCTCTGACAAGTTGGACTGGGCTAAGTCGAGTGCTTGATCTCTACCAGGCAATGGATCTGAAGGCCAGTGCACAGTGCAAGTGATTTTAGGCTAAAGTTCACCCAGTTGATCGCCACAACTTCAGCGATAACATGAGTTGGCAAAATGCTGGTATTGGTCGCGAGCGAATAGTCTTCGTGCACGGTAGGAGCACGTGTAAAACACAAGATTAAAAAATGCACAATAGGTGGTGAGTCTAGAGGCGGCAGCTGAGGGGGGGGGGGGGGGGGGGGGGGGGGGTGGGGGAGGGGGGAGGGGGGGTGAGAGGACGGGTGCCGAAGTGGCCCTTATGAGGCTTTTTATGTGTAAAGCCGTTTTATTGCCCTTTGCGACCAACCCCAAAAATTTAAAATCTAGGGTCTACAGCGGCCGGCTTTTTAGTAATTTTTTTTTACCGTTTTTTTAGAAGAAAAAAATGTTAAATGAATTTAAAAAAAAATATGGCTTCAAAACTGAAAAACAAAAAATTATCAGCTTAAAGAGGGAAACAAAGCAACAACAAAAAATCGACCAACCGACCCCTGAGGTTCAGGCAATACAACCTTATCGCGAAACCTGCACCTTTTTACTTAGATAATAATGGACTCCTATAACTTCTTATCACAAGCAGATTTCATAGGGGGGGGGGGGGGGAGAGAATGAAAAGGCAGGAGGAATCCTATTTATTTATGTTTTGCGTGTGTTTTATCTAGCACAACAATCTCCTTGGCACGAATAACATTTTGTAAACATTTGTACAGTGGCAGTTTCTCGAGCTACATTAAAATCGACAATATTGCCACTGCATCCTGTTTCTTTTTGGAACAAAATTTGAAAATGGTAAAATAGTGCACAACTCTTCGCTAAGTGGGGGGAAATATTACAAGAACGACAAGAAGAACGGGAAGTAGGAGGAGGAGGAGGAGGAAAAGAAGAAGAAGGGGAAGAAGAAGTAGAAGAAGAAGAAGAAGAAGAAGAAGAAGAAGAAGAAGAAGAAGAAGAAAAAAAAAAAGAAGAAGGACTCGGAGGAGAAGAAGAAGAAGGAGCCTGGAGGAGAGAAATTGAATCGATTTTCAAATTTGCCTCTCTTTTTCTCTCTGTTTCTCTCTCGGTTTCTCTATATCTCATTTTTGTCGCGTTTGTTGCGAGTTACGTGCACACAATAAAGAAAAATATTATTGAAGTAGGCCTAGTCATAAATCACTCAGAAAATAATGTTCATTAAATCGATGAACTTCAGCAATAACAAAGAGATTCGGTCACAGTATGTCATCCTGCTTCGGAAGACAAATAATTATGATCGAAGCTCTTTGCTCCGTAATGTCAACAGCGCCATCTACACTCGGAACGCATTTTTAAAAAAATGCAATATGACCTGTGCTGTATAATGTATTCATCGGGAGATGGCGACATGTCATGCAATGATAACATGCATGCACTGATACAAGACCCTCAAAAAATTATAATAAAATCTAGGAGTTAAAAATGCACCATGTCATTCTATCTAAATATAACAAATTTGTGTATTATGGGTTATGTTTTACCCCAATTTATGGAATTATTTTAAAAACAATTTATTCCTAATATATAGATCTAGATGATAGTATACATTCTCAGATTTTATTGAATAATAATTTGCCAATGTGTGTTTTGCGTGACTGCTAAAGCACGTGTATGATATGCTTATCAACTAGGGGACCTACGCCCTTAAATCATAAATGACAGTAATGAGGATTAATGCCCCACAAAAGGGCACTAATATAGCACATCGACTCGGTTTTGATCATGGGGTCTCACAGTTACGAGGCCATTGCGTTGTCACTGAACCATGACTGTACGCGGTGGGGGCTATAGGGTAGGGGGCAGTTTCCATAAATAAAATAAAACAAAGAAAATGCAATAAATTGTCAATAATTTATTGCATTTTACCCCGGTTCCCAACATATAAAGATCCTCTGGAATGCCATGCATTAAGGCTCAAGGCATGGGGACACAGAGGATTTTTTGCCTTTATTCAGATTCATGGAGGAAAAAAAAAGAAGCTCAGATTAAGTTCCCTGATCTTTCAATGACCTACCTTATGTGCCTTTGTGTTTTACGCTGAACATAAAGTCGCAGAATTTGTCTATTATTTTGTTTTTGCTTTCCTTTAACCCCCGTATGCCCCGGATTTATGTCCATGAATGTAATGTACAACCCCGATCCCAGCCTCGATTCCTCTCAGTTTACCCCTCCCCATCAAATTCATTTCGACGGTAAAGTCAAGTATTATAGTACATTTTGGAGCAGCGATTATTTTAAAATTAAATTCATACAGTTGAGACATTATACAATAAAACCAATCAGATTTGTTGGGTGGTGATGGTATAGTGGTTTATAAGATGATGAAGCGGATCCTAATCAAATGATTGGTTGAGAGCGTATACGTGACCAGACATTTATTTTGCCTAACACTAATGATGTGTATTATTTGTTTTATACTAATTACCGGTCATTAGTAAAATCACCCACACTCGGTACCTTCGAAACAGTTCAAACACCCTTGGCTATCGCCTCGGGCGTGTTAGACTGTTCCAAAGATACCTTGTGTGGGTAATTCTTACCAATGGCCCTCACTGCTGTGTTTTATTTGTTTAAAATTACCATTTTTTCATAATACCGTCATATACCATCATGCTATAGGAATCATAGCTTGCTCGAAAAAGGATAATAGTCTCACGCCCTTTGCCAAAACAAATATTTTGACCGTTTAACTTCCTAAATCTTTTTCTTGCTTTTCTTTATCACCTATTATTATTACCCCCAATCCCATCGTTTTTTATCACTATATTTGAGGTCAATCCGTCTTTATCAAAATTCTCTATTAAAAGTAAACAACAAACCATTTGCAAACTGAAGGACACAATATAAAAAGCAGAATACGATAAAAGACATGTATTACGTGACATGCTAATTTGAGAAGAGCAGAACGGAATGTCATTAAAAGCTTATTGAGGCTCTATAGACCAGTTGATTGTCCCGAAATTGTCAATTATGATGTCGAATAATATACATGTAAATATAAATATATCATAGTGCGGTGGCAGGAGATCATGTACGGAAAACATAACTGTTAAGAATAGTACAACGTAATCTTTAAAAGTATTTGAAATAGTTACATTGAGCTTTATCTTGCTTTAAACTTAAGAAATTGGAGAAAAGGGAGAAGAGAAGAAGAAAGAGGATAAGAAAGAAGAGGAGAACGATAGGGGTGGGGCTTAAAATACTGATGATAAAAAGAGTATAATTGATAATGATATTAAGTTACCATCACATTAATACCTCCATCGGCTTGTGAGCAATCAGTAGAATTAACACAAATTTAAACAATATGAATATCCGTTTTCAAGACCGATAATGTCTCATAAATTATATACAACCGTGTCAGATGTAGGCCCAAGACCCAAGCACCTATGATATCATGAGATATCTAATGCAGTTCAGGTTCAGTAGTAACTATACAAAGTGCGGAAAGTATGAGGAAGTTCTGTCCTGCAATCTATGCATGAACAAAAGAAATAATTATGAAGGGGAGGAAACCGAAAGTCCCTAATTAAACATCGCACCCCCCCCCCCCCCGAAAAAGGGGAACCTGGGACAAACATGTTTTGAAAGCTTGCAAGGTTAATGGCCATCGACATGCATTGTATCCAAAACCCCAAAACACAATAGGTTTGATAATTATAATGGATCATGAAAAATTGGCCATTCAAAACCCCCTCCCCTGGAGCCTCTGATGTGTTGTGTTAACGTTTCCATGCCTACCATGTAAACACTCTAAGGTATGACATTTATTTCACTTTTGTGATCAAGACTAGAGCTATCAATATTTCCCCCTCTTGTTTGTTTAATGATCGGTTGTACAGATTCTGGTACAGATTGTAGCTCTTGTTATTCATCATGATGCGTGCACGTGTGAAAAATTATTGATTTCTTTGTGAGAATGATGAGAAGGGGTTTCCCCTCTGAACGAAAAATTGGCATGAAGCAAAGAATAACAATGAACTTCAACAGACCATGCAATGGGCATATTGATAATTCAGGACCAACGCGTTGAATATTACCCTGCATCAAAATTTCTTAACTTTTATCATCGTATTATAGACCCCGCGCTTTCTCTCTCTCTCTCTCTCTCTCTCTCTCTCTCTCTCTCCCTCTCTCTCTATTTATGCCGAAAATGAGACCTAATCTATAGTATAACCAAAGTGGAACCCTAACCCTTAAATGCCTAAACAACTATGTGCAAGTGGTCGAAGAGGGCGAGCAAATATATGGTATCTATGGTGACAGCGGCCAGTATCCATGGTAAAAATGATTGTATGTTTGCATCACTTAAGTTCAGTATTGATTCGTTTTTGAGGCAACGTCAGGCAAGATATTAAAAATATATGATATTACGCATGAGGGTATACACAAATTTTGATAAATTCGTACGATTTGACATTTTGCATTATTTATTAGGTCGAACGATGTTGTAACTATAATGACCAGCACTATGATTTAAGATGAACATCTTATAAAATTGTATTACATCATGACATTCGGGCTGATTTTAATGTGTGTTAATTTTCCCAATGTTAATACTTTCATTTTTAGGTTTAGAATCCAATGCTAATGTTCATACATAACTATTATTCTGAATTCCAAGACTATCATGATCAATTTTTGAGCTTCATCTTCCGGCCTGGCAAACAATAATATTCAGCGTGTTGCTATTATATCAGTAAGAATATTCAGGACGCAAAATTCGTCTAATTTTTTAACACGATCACAACTACATTTCAAAAATCAATTTAAGGCAATTTTAATAGTCTTCTGCGTCAACTAGTTGTGCGAACATGATAATAACGTATTACGTAATCCCGAATATGATTTTTATACAGAATGACAATATAATATTGAATAGCCTACTCTTAAAGACCGTCAACACTACTGGGCCAGAAGGAATTAGAACACACAGCGAGGTCACTGACAGATGGCTATCTCATTAACCCAGCTCTCAACTAACATAAGAAAAAGAGGATCATGGGGACCAACTGGTACCGATTGGGGAAATTTTCTATATAGAGGGAGCAAGTAGCTACAAGTATAGAACAATGGGGCTTTAAGTTGATTTTTT